TGCTCGCTTTGTCATCGGCGCAAGCTTACATGGCGCATGGGCGCCCATGGGCCATGGCCCACTGACCATGTCCAAGGTACGAAGAAGCCCTCACAAAGCTGAAGCGGCTGAAACGTTTACCGAGCGGCTGGGAGGTCACCGAATTGGCCCAGAAACTCAGAGCTGAACAGAAATTCCTTACCTTGTTGGTCTTCTAATGGTCATGTGAGTCTTGTACAGTTTCACAGCATTCTGTAATTCTCCCACTGTGCCCAGCTGCAACGACCGATATACTCGAAGTAAGTGAGGTGGGAGATGATGCCTCGACGAAAATGTTTAAGAAGGCTGGGCTTTGTTTTTTATCGGTCAGCGTGAGACCAGGATGAGGCAGAAATGCAAAGATGAAGGAATCAACATGATACCTTTACACACGCTTGTTCTTTTCAGTTTCTCAGCCGGGAGGTTTCATGTCTTCCCGAAGGTATATAATGGATCTCGGCAACCAAGCTTCTGAACAGCTGTCTAGATCAGGGCATTTTGGAAGATGCGAAGATTGGCCAGGAGTTTGTGACGTGAATTAGCTTGTGGGATTGTACTGGCTTGCAGAGCGCAGGTTAGGCCGATTCGTAGTGTAAGGCCGATCGTTTGAACATCCCTTCTGCGACAGCACTGCGGTTGGGACTCACATCTCTTGACCTCGTGACGTCGTGAGGCTGATTTGGATGATCCCGCACTCAAACAGCTTTTCCAGAAGCTTTTCGATGACACCAAGGCCAGGGAATGGACGCATCCGGAACTTGGGATTTGGACGTATCCGTTTTGGCCGACAGTGCCCTCTCGTCAAGCTGGACACCCTTTCTTTTCAACTGGACAAAACAAAGCTGGCCAACGCCACTCGCATGTCAGCCTCTGTGCAGATTCCTGACAGAAGGAAGGCAAGGGTTTATAGATAAATGTTTATAGGGCCTCCCTTAATAACACCATTTTAAAGGCCTTAACCGTATCCTTACCTTCCCTTTGCCATCTTTCTTCCTCCCGCAGAAGCATTGGACACCTTGAGAGGCCAGTATCGTGACCCGAGATCGAGCTGCTCGTGGCGCTGGCGCCGTCTGCCTCTTAAACAGCTTGGCAGGGCGGTTTCGCTTTGCTTTCAGGTTTCGCTGCAATAGACCTCAACAGACTGCAACGATATATAGTCTATCGATGTATTTACAATCTATTATGCATATAAATTATATATACGTATAATTTATAAATATATATATATATACACATAAGTATAATATTATGCACATGCATGCACATGCCATTTCCCCTCACCACCTTCATGCTGGCAGCTACAGCCCAGATGCCGCGTGGCTACCGCGTTCAGAAGATCATCTCTGTCCGGTCGAAGAACGGAGGGTGTGGGAAGTGGGGATTTTTCGGATGAGTGGAAGCATCCCTTCCAGGAGTGAGAAGCAATCTTCCGATGTGTTTTCAACATCAGACATGATTTGAGGAAAGCCACTGACACAGTCCAACCTGATTGCTTAGTGACAAGGCATCAGAGGAATCATTCTTTTTCTACACTGTCCAACAGGCCATTTTCTGAAGGGACAGGCACTGCTACCAACTGGCTAGCTGGCTTCTAGCTACTGAGGGCGGGATACCTACGTGGGCCATTCCATCCCTAGAGCTTTGCAACCTCACCTAGGTGATGAATGCGGAGTCCTGGCAGTCCTATGCGGAGCGAAGGGACAACATCGCGCAAGACTGCAGGCGTAGATTCCAGTTGGCACATGTTGGTATTTCGGGCTGCAGCAACTTGCTCAGTTGGACGTTTTTACCATGGAGAGTCAACTAGGCCCAACAAAGAGTGCTTGCCGAATCCGCTGGGTTGTTGCTTCATTGATGGACTTTAGCTGGAAAACTTCAGTCCAGCCACTTGAAGAAGACTGTCCTGTTCCACTTCCGTGATTGTTGGAGAGGGCGTACATATTGTTGAGTTGATATGGCCGCCTGCGCGGATTATTGTTCTCAGCCTTTGGGATTAACCACCACTGGACAATTCGTTGCGTGTAGGTCGAGGTTCCAACAAGGGCTGCTAGAGCATGCTGGAGCCTATGTTAGTCTTTTTGACCGACACAGGTCACCCAAAGAACAACCAAGGACGTTAAGTTCCCCAAGAATCTAGGAGCCAAATCATTAGAAGCGGTGAGCTATCCTGCGTCCTAGCTAGGAGCTTCCTATTGCTAGTAGCGAACTAGTCGCCCTTAATTGAGTAGGCGCCTTATATAGTTGAGTAAGGAGGCAGGGCCAAGGACACATGTCCAATGCCATGCTTTGGAAGGCTATATCCTGGTTGTGCTCCGTTGAGCGACACAGCTGGGATCTCTGTGGCTTGTGATGCTTCACATGAAACACTCTGATGGCCAATGGCAAGCATTGATATTTGCGCTGTTCAAGAATTAAAGAAGAGCACCAACCTTCCCATCAGCCCAGAAAGGGTGATTTGTTGAAATGGATCACTTTCTCCAAACTTATATAATTGAGAGCTGCCAAGCTCTCTCTGCAGTAGCCTGGCGCCACCTCTCCCAAGGCTTGGGGAGACTGGAGCGGCAAGATTCACACGGCTCCCCATGGAAATGCCGCAGTCTTAGCTGCAGTGCTGAAACGTGAAGTGCGTGTGGCAACGTGAATCCCACGAACGCTGCAAGGTCGTGTGGTGTTGTGAAGGCTGCCAAGCGCGAATGTGTAGTGAAGGGTTCTTGTTTAGTAGAGAGGTATGTTGGCTTGATGTTTGTTGCTCATGTGACCGCAACCGTCTGCAGCCATACGCAACTGTTTGATACTGTTTGTATGATCGCAATCGCGCTATGGCATCCTCTTGCAAGAAACTTTTTGGAGGAGGTATTGGATGGGGGGATGATGCCGTGTCAGACTTATATATGAAATACTTGGTCTAGAAACGTAACTTCGCAGATTCCCACATGTGAAGTTATTTTGCTGCGCAGGTGCTGTGTGTCGTGACAAGATTGGCATAGTGTTGCCGAACCAGCGGAATTTGCTCTTGAAGGATTTGCTTCAAAGCGGTGCTTTCGTGACAAGTCTCAGCTGAAGCTGCGATCTTGAGCGATGTGGGAAACAGCAAATGGTCGAAATCATTCCCAGCGAGAGGTGCACATTTTGCCTGTTTTGTCAAGGAGTGGTTACTCTTCGTGGCAGGTGCAGTACTTTGTGTGGGGTGTTGGGAACCAATTTTTGTGGTGGAACGTGCACGGGATCATGAGGTTGCGACGTTTGGCTTGGATTGCGAAGCTGCGCGGCAGGGCTGCGTGATGTAATGCGTTCGGATGGGGCTTCCCGGCTTCCCACTTAGCTTTTTTGGCACGTGAGTTCCTAGACGAGTGTCAAGAGTTAAGAATGTCCAACAAGAGTGTCCTTTAAGAGTGTCTCGCAAGAGTGTCAAGCAAGATTGTCCCACAAAAGTGTCACACAAGAGTGTTCTAGAAACGTGTCTGACAACAGTGTCGCACAAGAGTGTCCTACAAGGTTGTCGCGCAAGTGTCCCACAAAAGTGTCAAACAAGATCAAATTAGAGTGTGTTTGAACAGTTGTCAAGAAACAGCGTTCCACAAAAGTATCCGACGAAATGCTCACACACTATCCGGGATATGCTTTCCTTTTTTTCATTCGGGCTCATTGGGCTTTTCATGTTGTTTCATATCTTTCACATTGAATCTTTGTTCATCGCGCCGCTGCTGCTTCTCTGAGGCCATTTTAGAGGGCGCCCACTTGCCATCCTTAAGCGCTGGAGCCAATGAGTTCCTTGGATTTGGCTACTCGTGGCTACTGGGGCGGCTACTCCTAAAGCAAAAACCTAGTAGAATATACTAGAAGTAGATTTTATCAATTTTATAATCTTGAGTAAACTCTCAGAATGCCGTTGAAAAAACAGGAAGGTGTTATTGTTACAAACATGTTTTCACAAGGCTTGGTTCGGCCAAGAGCGTGTCCTCCAAGGCCACGTCGCTTGCCACCTTGTGTCAATCATGATGGCGTGAGGTTTCTCAAGTTTTAAGAGAGCCAGCAGGCTTGATCCAACGGTTGCAGAAGCCCAGGTTCCTCATGTTCCACGGTACCAATCCAGAGGCCGCATGAGCTGACAGGTTGTTTTGGACCTCCCCAGATTCGAATCGGTTTGTAACTTTGTGAAGTCTCTTCAGGTAAGGCAGAGATAGACTTGAACCCTTCCGAAAATAGTTGAGTCGTTGCACTCGTTCTCGGAATTGAACTTGCAAGTAGCGGGAGCAATCTACTTGTACTGCTAACTTTCGTGCACATCTCATATTGCACTGATCACTTGGAGCGCAGATGATAATAATAAGCCAAGGACAGCGATACTGCTTAGGCAAGGCCCTTCTGATCCTCGAAACACACTGCACAATCGGTTTGCAACTACAGACTTGAAGCGCTTTGGGAGGATTCTTCAAGGCCTCGTCACTGCCAGGTTTCTAGGTGATGTTTGCGTGAGACTTCTGGCAGGCAGCTGATTTGATTGCGATGAACCACTTCGATATGCGGGGAGCCAAGTACGGGCGCATGTGAATCGCATGGATTCTCGCGTTAGCCTCAATCAGCCTTTGTAGTTTTGAAGCTTTGATTGCAAGAAAAACTGTGCACCTACCAAGCAAAGGTTTCCTAGTCTAGTGGCTTGGCATGACCGCGACAAGCCATCAACGAAAGATACGGATGTGTGAAGAATTGTGAAGAGAAGGTTTGGCACTGTGTGGAGGATTGGATGTTGAGCCACTGAATGGTTGTGGATGTTATTTCTATTTTCAGTTGTTTGTTTTAGTAACAAGAAGCTGTTAGTGGCTCCTGGCCTTACTACTAGGAGCAAGGACGCTACTAGGGGCTCCTGGCCTTACTACTAGGAGCAAGAAGCTACTAGTAACAAGAGGGCAATTGTTTGTTTGTTTGTTTGTTTGTTGTTCCTCTTCACTTTTAGACAGCATGTCGCATGTGCACCTCAGGGCCTTCGCATGCAAATCGGGCCTCTTCGGAGCTGGCCTCTACTTTGCCGAGAACTCCTCCAAAAGTGACGAGTGACCCAAGGGACCCATGTCAACCAGTGGGTTTCTTTCAATTTGTGACAGTAATAGATGGATGGATGCTGCCGAGAAGCTGTTGATACATGGCCAGTAGGCCATGCCCTGTGCACGTTGTTTATTGTGTCCAATCACCACTCAAAAACATTATTTTTGTATGTTTTCTTTGGTTTATGTGCGGGTGGCCACGCTGCTTCGCATGCACTTGGCCCAGGCGCAGAGGAAAAACCATATGACAGAGATCAAAGGATACAACACATATCATAAGCACACTGACATGAACCACAGGAAGAACATATCTATCTGGGGAACACATGTTTGCTAGCTTCAAATATGTTTGCAACAGCGCTGCGTTGAAGCTTTGCATTTGGTGTTGCCATCTACTAAAAAGCGCCTTCAGGCGCGCTTGGGTCTTGCAACAAATGGATCGCATCAGCTGACAGAGTCTTCTCCTCTCAAATCAACACCAATTAACCTAAAACTTTTGTGTGATGCAATTATGGGTCGTGGAAGTAAATTTCCGCATGCATTTTCTACTCAAGCGAGAAGCACCGATGCCTTTGCTCATCATCAGCCATCCGCTTATTTCCAGCTTTTCTCGCTCTTTACCCGTTCGTCATTTTGGGCGTTGGGGGTTGGCCAGATCATATCTTTGTAGACGGGCTAGTTCCGCCTCGTGGATCCTCATGTGCACGATGGGCGTAGAGATCTCCACCTCCAGTGAACCCGTGAGGAGCTGTTGTGCATTGTACAACCTGTGTGCCAGACATGTACAAAGGTGCAAACTTCCCTTTTGCTGTATACTACCTTTTGACCGAATCTGCTGAAAGGTTGGCAATCTCAGCTGACTCTGCACAGATGTACATATATATGTATACAGAGAGATGAACTTCCAGAAGAAGATGGACGCTTGGATCATCCCGGGCATCCTGGAAGCAACAGAGATGTTCCTGCAGGGAGACTTAAGCAGATAGACAAGCACGATCCAGGAACGTCCAAGAGTCGTCGGACCTGTTCCACTTGCTTTTGGACTTGAGCCCTTCAGCTGTTGCTTCGACAATGGCTGCATGTTTGACAGGCCCAGCGTTCCTGTAAGATATGTCTTGGCGGAGGCGGCGTGGCAGTCTGTGTAGCAAACAGGTGTGTAGGTAGAATACGTCCTGGATGGATGGTCTACGGTATATATGTATATATATTTTTGTTGAAAAACAAAAATTGGAAAGGAAGAGGAGAGAGGGGGCCCTTCCCTTCCTTCTTCTTTTTGATCTTTTTCAACATAAGCATGTTTAATTATTAGACCCTTTAGAATATGTTAAAATCGTCTACCGATCGGTTGGGTCATTCATGATCAACATAAGACTCTTTGCCAATGTCATTTCAGTTTCATTCACTTTCCATGTCTCCGCTTCCGTCCTGTGAGGTGAGTCTGGTCGTGTCACACTCAGTCGCTTTGTGCACATGGACATGGAAGTATTTACAATCACCTACACATTCTGCATGTGCTAAAGTCTGGCCGTTTAATGGGCTGCCTCTCCTTGGAGCCAGCAATCACCGATACCAAGAGACATGTACGAAGATGCAAAGACGGCTTCTAGCATCAACTGTCCAAAGACCATAGCTCAGCAGACCGGGGGCGTCAAGGAAACGCGTCAAGGTTCTTCTCAGCCTTTGATGCGCAACGCAAGACTTGTTTTGGGAAATTTGAGTGAACCCAGAGTACCAGTGAAGCTCCTGAGGGACGCGTCTTCGTTCGATGCGCAGTTTCCAATGATTTGTCCAAGGTCTACGATCTCGATGGTTCTGCAGAAATCTTTATGCTCAACCACAACTGCCGAGCACGCAGCGAAATGCCTGGTTCACATGATACGGATGAATTAACGATCAAGCAAAACATCATCATCAGTAGTCAAGTCCAGCAGCTATGTCTCTTTGGAATTCCAATATTTTTGAAACAGCGCAAAGTTCAAGTGATTTTTGCTTTTCCAAAGAGCTTATGACTGGAAGATGAGCATACAGGTCCCGGGAAACTTTGCGCCCATCTGCTGCCCCTTTGGCGTGACGATAGTCCAGGGCGGCTGGTCTTTTTTCGTCAAAGCACTTGGACCTATCCGGTAAAGCCTGGTAGCCCCCAGTGAGCAGGGTGAGGGCCGAGACCGGTAGCATTAACCACAAAGTCAGTGAAGACTAAGCACAAAGCCCAAGAAGTCATTGAGATTTCTAGGCATCCCAAGACTGCCAGTTGTAACAAAAAAGCTCTCCTTCTTTGGTGTCATCTTTGTGTCTTTAGTGGTGTCTTAGGTGGACGAGACGAGGTGACCGAGGTGTGACCGAGGTGTGACCGAGGTGACGCAGCGCCTGCCTGTTTCATCTTCCAGAAGGTGTGTCAAGTCGGCATTGTGAGGAAAAAGCTCGTGGCCAGAGGTGCATTTTTGGACGCGAGATCAGATCAGAGTTTGTAGGTTTTGCGCTCATGGTGATGCTGCGGCCTCATTTCTCAGTTCAGTTGACCAAGTGGCAAAAACGGCGCAGAGAGTAAAATAAAAGCAAAAATTGTCATTGGCAGAATCTGTTCCTTGTAGTCAGCTCAGCCCCCCCACTCCTGACTGTTTGCAAAGCTCATCGCAGATATGGCTGCAGTTCCGCCTGGCTGAAAAGGAAAACAAGAATCAGAATATACTTGTTTAAAAAAGAAAAAACTCTATGCCAAATCACGTTGGCTATGAAAGGATTCACTCAAAGGCTGTCCTCGACAAAGCTGGTCAGAATTGGAGCTGTGATCCTGGGATGTTCGCCCAGCAAAATGTTTGCCAAGCGCGTCGGTCTCCGGGCCTCAGCGTGTCATAGCCACGGCCAGGCCTCGTTTGCAGAAAAAGAGTCGCACGGACGCCGCCAGCTGACAAACGGATCCACTCGGTCACGCCAGGCACGATTTGGAGTGGGCACTGGGACTGATTAACTGTGGGACGCTGCTCTGAATGATGAGGATACTTAACCCCATAACCGCGCAATGGCTCAATATCAGACGGCTATTGCGAAGGCAATCTTTTGCCGATTGTGATGACACATCCTTTGACTAAATGGTTGCCCGTCTGGAAAGCTACGATCACCTCCACTGTTCTCAACGCCAGCTCAGGATTTAGTCTGACTTAGCTTGCCTTAGCGTGTCAGGTGTTTGGTTTGAACGGTAACGTCTCTTTTGCGTATTCCCTCCATTTGTGATTGCCGTGGCTTCTGCTGGCTTATTTGACTCATGCTGGGCATGGATTTGATTTGCAGAGACTTAACCAACCTGGAAAAAGGAATACAGTGTTGTTCGCGCTTAAAGTGCTCTTCCACCAGGCCGGCTGAGGAGTAACGGGGCCCTGCTGGGCTCGCGTGTGTCGTCTCATCGAGAACAGCGAGTGATCAAGGAGGACTGCGTACACCCGAATATACCCGAAGAGTTGCGAGTGTGCGGTAGCGTGCGGTAGCTGGGTATTTGAAACACTCTTCGGACGACAAAGTTTGCGCTAGCGTTTCGTCGCTTTGAAACGGTTTTACGGTTGGCGCGTGCTTTCACTCCATGGGCTGGGCTAGAGGATGCGCCCAATTGAAGGAAGACTTGCGCAGAAATCCCTGCGATCCCTGAATCACGGTTGCGCCCTCGAGCTTACGGACGCCTCAGATGTACCAAACACACCCTACATTTGCGCCACCGCCGTGGCCAGTGTTTCTGTGAGCGAAGGAGATTTGGCGGCGAGACACGGGACCACAGCAGCTCTGGCCAAATTCACGGACTTTGGATTGGGGTACTGGCGCTGGATACGAGTCTGGCCTTACTTCCTTAATTGCGGCGCACAAAACGCAGCAAAGGCATTGTGATGGCCTTGAACACCTCAGCCGTGTTGCGTTTGGTGTTGTGTATTCTCTCCAACATCTATGCAATGAGAACTTCTACTTCACGTGTTGCTTTCATTTCTATGTTGTGCTACGTCGCCAGGGCGCCTGTGCAACTATCGGACGAAGAGGTTGCAGTTTGAAGCCTATACAGATCAAATGAGGTTGTCCTGTTTTTGTTTTGATTTCGACTCTTATGGGACATACGGAGAAACAAGGGGTGTCCAAATTTGAGGTGCAGTGCTGCTCCTGACTGGCCTCAACGATGCTTGCGGAACATGAATACGCGCGGCCGGTCGCCTAGAATCCCCCCCTCAGCGTGCTGTACACCAAGTGATGCTATGACCACTGTAGCATTGGGTGGTGGTTGCCGGAGGCCCAGCCAGAAAGATACAGTGCTATTTTTACTATTTGAATACGGCCTCCAAGAACTCGCCTATGAATTTCTCTCCACCCTAGGGTGGGAGCTGAATGGCCGATTTCAGGGTGAGGCAAATTGAGTCATTTACTTCCTGGAAAATCCTGCATGAGGTTCACAAAAGCTGCTGACCTCCGCTTAAAGTGGATGCAGTGGTGTCTCTGAGGGAGAGACGGGAGACGTGCCGTCGAGGAGAATCACATATAGGGAATGATTGGACACAGGGGATTGGGTGCACGTCTCTCAAGTGTGCAGATATGAGATTCTCATCTCACTCACAGTGCTTGATGTTGGCATGACAAGGTGATCAACTGATAAGCTCAAACAGCAACGGCATACCTAGCATACCTTTAGGCGGGAGGAACTCGGAGCAACTCATTTGAGTGAACCGAAGGAAAAGAGAAAGGCTTATATATATATATACATATGTATTGTATATATGCTCACTTCCATGATCTACTTTTTTTCAGCTCTTCTACCTTTTCCTGCGTTTTAGCTCGTCCACTTTTCGTTCTTCTCAGCTGTTCTACCTTTTCCTGCTTGTCAGCTTCTTTTCTGTACCAAGCTACGCCCTGTGTGGACTAGATTTTTGCAATACTTTGATGTTTGCTTTTAAAGAGTGTTAACGGTAATCAAAGAAATCAACAGGAGTTCAACTATATCAAGAAAAACAAAAATGAGTTCTTTAGGCAATCAATATAAAACCA